CTGGACAAACTGATAAAGGCAGAAGCCAGTCGCAATAATCTCTGAGATCCATAGATTAACATAGACAAGCTTTCTATGAGAGATACGATGAGTAGCTGAAATATTTTCTAGTTCAACTATGACTCTTATAGAACCATTTAGACAGTCATTCAATTTTTGCTTTCTCTATTTATCACTTGTTGAGATATCTCTAATGGAATTAGTTTATGCAGATCTCGATTTCTGGTTAGAGATCTTTATTCTTCCTTATTTTAAGCACCAGCATATACGTCTATCAATGCTCTCCTCAATCTGATCGTCTTCTTACGTTGATGTAGCCATACCAACACCGTTTAAGTAAACTTCTTATGCCAAAAAGTTACTCTACTCTACTAGTCTATCGATTCTATCGACTATGCACAATGATCATATATGTATGCTTGATCATAAGAATGACATAGATATTTTAGCTGTCATAGTCAAGAGTTAAGTTAATGCCATTCATTTATCGTATCTTAATAAAAATATTTTTGCTTTTTGTACTAACAATTTCCATATTTCTACCAAAATCTCTCTCTCAAAGTCACAAATACATATTTGTTTAAGCAACCTGAGTTAACTGGAATCAGACATAGGTCTAGGTGCATATATGCAAATATTCGTATCTATCAGATCGGCATTTGCGTTCGGGCCCCTAGTTTCCGGCAACAGCTATAGTACGATTGTGGGCCAGAGTTTAGCCCTTAATTTGGCCAGGCATGGGATTCGTGTGGCCTGGGGGGAGAGGGAAGCGAGGTGGGCATGGAAGTAGCGTGGCTATCTGGGCCGTTTAATCGCGCTTCATTCATCATCCAAATCGAGCGTTGCGTTTCGGCGGGGCGACGCGACGCCCGATGCGAACTATCGATAAGGCGGCTGGGCCCAAGTGGGGCGAAGTTCACAAACTCAACTTAATGGCAATTTTATCGATAATGTTCGTGCTGAATTTTCGATTTTGTTTGCTTGCATGTCGGGCCGCGAATTATGAGCGATCGACACGCCAACAACTACCAAGCAATTGTGCAAATCTAACCAGAACTGGGAGTTGGGCCTCACAATCGAAATCAGAGCAGGAGTTGGAACCGCCTTACGCCTCCCGGCGCCCAGTTCCCGTTCGAACTCTGTCATCATACCACACTCGTACTTACTTTCGTAGTTTAGCATACAATGTGTTTGTGGGTTTTTCTGTATACCCTGTACAATGAGCGCAAGTGGAATGGAAGGTCGTCTGATTCACGACACAAAAGATTCTCAATTTACAATTTTTAGAGGTATTTTTATAGTATCATATCTTCTGGCAATGGATTTTCTTTGAATTTCAAGTAGTACTACCTAGGCAATTTGATCTATTTCTATGTATAATCATTTCTCCCTCCTCTTGTTTAACTCACCTTGTCTCAACTTCTTTGAAAAGGAAATTCAAACCCTACTCAACTCCTCTCGCTGACTTTCTTTAGTTCTACCAAGTGCTCATAGAGGGTATCTTACAGCAATTCAATAGTTATTTATTCACATAGTTGACAGCCTTTGGCTTTATTTTTTTGTGGGGGTTTTGGTTTATGTATTTCTGCTTTGGTTGCAGCGCAAATTATGAGCACGCGAATATCGAACGGTTCCTGCTACTGGTGGGCGGCATATTCGGGCCCTATGGGCGTGTCCGCCCTATCAATTAGAACTGGCTAGCGCACATCTTGATAAGAGTGCGGCCCTACAGCGATACCAACAATTGGTATGCGAGCAGCCTGTGTAAATAAATAAAAATAAAGTGCCAACAACGAAATGCGCTTCGAATGGTCATTAAAATTGCGCGTCCAGGGCCTAAAAGCATGCACTGCTAATTGCCACATAAATAACCAGTCGAATCACCAGCCAGTACCATCCGAAATCTGAGGGTTGTCCAGCGCCCACTCTTAGGCAAAAGAGACGCGGCGAAATTCGAAAGCAAAGCAAAGAACATAATTTATCGAGCATAGATTATCGATAAGCAAGCAAACATATGATTAAGGACAGTAAAACAAACAACAAAGACAGAGGGCAGAAGGAGAAGGAGAATGAGAAGAAAAGAGAAAAGAAGAGAAGAGTGGATTAGAGAAGAGTATAGGAGAGCAGAAAGAGTGGAGAAGAATAGAGTAGAGTAGAGTAGGCTAGGGTAGAGTAGAGTAGAGTACAGAAGAGTATCGTTCAGGAGAGTAGACGAGAACAGAAAAGAGTGAAGGAAAGTAGAGAAAAAAAGAGAGAAGAGTAGAGTAGAGTAGCGCAGAGAAGAGAAGAGTGGAGTAGAGTAGGATAGGGTAGAGTACAGAAGAGTAGACGAGAACAGAAGATAGTGAAAGAAAGTAGAGAACAAAGGAGGAGAGTAGAGTAGATTAGAGTAGCGCAGAGAAGAGAAGAGTAGAGTAGGATAGGGTAGAGTACAGAAGAGTAGACGGGCACAGAAGACAGTGCTGGAGAGTAGAGAAGAAAAGAGGAGAGTAGAGTAGACTAAAGCCACATAGAGTAGAGAAAAGGAGAGAAGAAAAGAAAAGAGAATGGCAATAGCAGAAGCTTAGCTAAAATCGACGTTAGGCTGCCTCTGTTAGGGGCTGAACTAGACTTACGCAATACAGCGAATGGAAAGAATATGAGCACAATATACGATAAGGTCTATAGTTGTTGTGCTTAGTTTCCTGTGCATGTGTCTATGTGGGTGTGTGTCTGTGTGGTGCAGAGCAGCGCATTAAGTTCAATTTCAGCTACTAGATCAGAATTTATGACATTGACGAAACGATAAAAATGTCGACAGTAGCCGGGCATACACATAAATGTGCATTACGGAAGTGAAACAGAGAGAGTAAGCGAGACGGAGATGGGAATGGGGAAGGAGATGGAGATGAAGATGTAGCCGGAACTGGAACTCGCAAATAGCAGAGGTGGAGAAGGTGGAAGTGGGCTGAGTTAAAGGCGGGAGCAGAGCAATATAACTGACCAGGCGGCATGAAAATGAAATGCGACGCTCAAACTCACGTCAGCGAAAGCGAAAGCGAAAGCCTAAAACTATTAATTTCATCGTAGCCGAGAAGCACGAAAGAACGGTTGGGCACGTGTGGGAGCAAGCGAGAGGGAAGGCAAGGCTGGCCCGTGGCGGGCTGGACTGTCTGTCCGCCCTTTGGGCAGGGAGAAATCTATATTTACGATTATTGAAGTTTATGACGAAACGTTTTCGTATCATTTTGCGTCGCCTCATAAATGTTAAACGAGAGACTGACAGCGGTCTCACGGCTGGACCATCTACAATCACATAGGGTTGAGAATTTCATAAATGCTTTTGCACGCAAGCTGCTAATAATGCCAGACGGACGGACGGACGGACGGACGGAGTAACGTACGGATGGACAGGCAGCCTGACAGACAAACTGGACCGGACAGATACATACATCGTATTTGTGAGTGGTATGTACGTGGTACACACATACATGCACATATGTATGTATGTGTAAATATATGTCGTAGCACAGGTGCCTGGCCAGGGCTTTGGTTACGGATTTGGGTTCGGTTTCAGTTTCGGTTTCGGTTTTGGTTTTGGCTTCTTCTTATATATATATATATGTATATGTATATATTTCTTTTTTCTGCTCGGGGGTTGGTCTATGCTGTATGGCCGCAAAAGTGCAATACGCTCGTAAAACCAATGGCCAAATAGCCAAACGAGAAATGTCTAAGTAAAAATGTTGTGTAATTACGTTGCGTTACGCACAGATAGAGATACAGATGGTAATGAAAATAGAGTGGGGAAAATGGTCAAGCGGTCGGGGTCTACAGCTGGAGCTGGACTTTATGATAGTCGACAACATCCATCCCACCCGCCCCCTGCCACCACTGGCAACACCACTACCCATCCCTCTGCCCCATACAAAAAAGGCAAAAATCGTAGTACGACTCGACCACTGTCGGTTGGAAAAATCATAATTAGGCTTCGGTTTGCCCCCCACACACATGTGTGTGTTTGCGTGGGTGTGTGTGTGCCTTTTATTGTTTTAATGAGCAGGCCAGTGCAATATTTGGCCAGGGTTGGGTATGCTCTAACTGGCAACTTGTTTCCGAAATAGTTATAGCCAGGCAGCCTCTATGCTTCATATCAATTGATCTAAGGCCCTTTCCTGCTCTAGAGGAGCGCCATTGAAAATGGGAAAATCAGGGTATAATGGTTCTGTTGAAATGCATGTAACAGGCAGAAGGAGACGTGGCAGACAAAGAATATACATATATTCCTGATCAGGGCGACCAGCTGAGCCGATTTGGCCCTGCCCGTCTGTCCGTATGTTCGAACGCGTCGATCTCAGAAGATATAAAAGCTAGATAGCTCCAAATTTTTTGTAATGTCCGTATATACAGCGCGGATATGGAGCTTTTAACTAAAAATCGATAGATCATCCCGTTATATTTTTACCGATAAAAAACCTTATTGAAAACCAGTTATAAAGGTATATCGCCTACACCTTTAAAGCTAGAGTCTACAAGATTCAAATATATATTAAGATGCATTTTATACTATTTCGATTTTAGATAAACAATTTCTTATATCTACGATATTCGTAAGACATCGTGGATGACTACTACTACTATGGCTACATAAGAGTTTTATTGGAAACCGATTTTATATAATTCCAAAATGATATTAATAATATGCTCAAATCTAATGTCAATTTATTCACAATCATGTATGTTTTTCTCTTTTGTCAGTTCAACTTCAATCTCAGTTAACGTCAACGGAGTTTAGCTAAAAGCTCTCTTCAGTTCATTTCGTTACTTTCGAGTATCTTTGCACGCGCCAAGAGTACCACTTTTGAAGCGTCTTTAAACGTGAGCTCATTGCCTTTAGCGGACGTTTCATATTAATTCATATCAAGCCAAGAGACCTGCTCTTTGAGGGTAAGTATTGCATATTTGATTGAACTGAATCAATTAACTTTTATATGCATGCACTCAGTATCATCAATCTAAACATGTCTGACTCGAAGTCTGGAAAGATCGCTGCCGAGGACGTAGCTCGTGCAGTTCATGTTAATCATCGCCCCGGGCTTATGAACTTGGGAAATACTTGCTACATAAATAGCGCCCTACAAGCATTGTCGATGACGCCCGAGTAAGTCCTGCACTTTGCACCGTCTTTGCTTTCGCTTCAGCCTTCACCCAAATTCCGTCCTGAATCACAGCTTTTGCCGTAACCTATTGCTCTCCGAGTGTCCGGCTCCAATTGTTGTCCACTTGCAACGCTTGATTGCAATGATGCATTATTCGCATTACAACAACGTTATGCCCTCATCGGTGCTGCTCTTCAGGAACAATCCGATGTTCCCAGCTGGCGAGCAACAGGACTGTTCGGAGTATTTGGCTCACTTGCTCAATTCGTTGAACGACGGCGAGAGAACCGAGGGATTTGTGCCTGCATTGGACGATCAAGTTCATAACTTTACCATCGCAGACAAGTCATTCTCTGGACAGCTGACAAATATTTATAAATGCCTTGTTTGCTCGCATGAGAGCCGCATTCAGAATAGGTTCCGCGAGCTGCAGCTCGCCTTTCCTGACTGCGGTGGAAATCGTAAGGAATCTTTCACTGTGCAGAGTCTGATCGAGTACAACAGCGCGTCCGACATTCTCGATGGCGATGATAAATATGCGTGCCCATCGTGTGCCACCTATTGCATGGGTGAGCATCAGACGGTGATCACACAGGGGCCACGCAACCTCATTATCACTCTCAAGCGCTTCGGCTACGACAAGGCAACCCATCAACATACTAAGCTTATGAACAAGGTCTACCCAAATAACACGGTGAGTTGAATGCCCAACAAGAAATATCGTATATATGTCTTTCACTCTATTGATAAATTGGAGATCCCTCTCCAGATAGCGATAGAGAGATGGTTGAGAGAAGTTGGAAAATAGCTGAGCGGAGGGTGGAGATTCCGGGGACGAAAAAGTAAATAGCAATGTGCAGTTGAAGTAGAAGGGGGCAAGAAATGAAGGAGAGGAAGAATGCAAGTGCAGACGGGAAAGTGGGGATAGGGGCACAGATGCGAAGAGAAATGTGAATATGAATGTATAGTAGTAGTAGATAGCAGCAGGAATGATAGAATCATATGTACAAAATTAGAAAAAAGAAAATAGAAATCAGAGATAATAATAGCCTGGCAGAAGCCCCTCAGTCCAAGAAATCTCTTTAAAAATATGTCATATTCAATAATCTAACTAACTCCCTTCCCACCTGTCTTTTTTTTTTGCAGATTACACTGACACAATACAATAGCACAATGCATGAAGTCACTATCTTGGTTTATCGCCTTTATGCTATTGTAATACACGACGGTGGCACGATAAACTCGGGTCATTACTATGCACTGGCGCGGGATGCGGAGCTTCGATGGGTCAGGTTCAGCGACGACGTGGTCTCTTTCATGAAGTGCCCGGAAATTCGTCAGCTAAGGACCAGGGACACCGCGCATATGCTGTTCTATGCTTTGAGCGCAGTAAAGGGCACGGCCTCGCCAGAGGATAAGGAAAATGCGATGCCACTATCGCCGGAGGAACCGCTTGTCCTTGAAGAACTTCCGGCTGGACTGCTCGACTTCGTGAAGCCATATTTGGGAGGTCAACCGCCAAGCCAGTCTTAGAGCGAAGTAAAGGGCACGGCCTCGCCAGAGGATAAGGAAAATGCGGTGCCACTATCGCCGGTGGAACCGCTTGTCCTTGAAGAACTTCCGGCTGGACTGCTCGATTTCGTGAAGCCATATTTGGGAGGTCAACCGCCAAGCCAGTCATAGTAATGAACCCAACGAAGATAGTCGACTAATGATTGCTTATATATGTATATACGAATATACATATGTATATTTGTATGTATATATATATATGTGAACACACACTTACACATACACACTTGTAAATACACATTTATACACGCATACACACTTGTAAATACACATTTATACACACATACACACTTGTAAATACACACTTACACATACACATACACACTTGTAAATACACACTTAAACACTTGTAAATACACACACACACAAGTGTGTTATTTGGAAGTAGACCTAATCTTTTGTACATAGAACCAATAAAAATGTACATAAATTTTGTTGATATAATAATAGTTTCATTTGGTATCGGTAGAGCTTTCTTTCCACATTCTCTGTTAGCAGGACTATTAAGAGCCAGTCCACCCCGTCGCACAGTCGCACAAATGTGGACAAGAGTAACAAGCCAGATAACATTTAAACGAAATCGCTTTAAAATCAATTAACCGTAAAATCACTCGGCTATTTGCAACAACAATCGGGCCGCGAGTCCTGCCGGACCTTTGTGGCCCACGGACATCGATGCGACGCGGCGGCCAAACAATCAAATGTGGTGGCAATAACATTAGCCGCCCCCACGCCCCCCACGCCCCTCCGCTCGTCCAGCAGCCGAAAAACGTGGCATGCGTTTGCATATGTGTCCGTCTGCATGCAGACGGGCAAACAATCTGCCAGACCAAACATGAGCACTCCCCTCTCCCCCTTCCCTTGATACGCATTCGCCATGGGATCCATGGCCGAACTCGCCCTCCCCGCCCACAATCGTAGGCGGCTGCAGTGAACGTGCTGCCAGGTATTAACCTCCATTTAATGTTTAACAAAGCCGCGTTACATGTGCATGGGGCGCAAGAGCAGGAGCTGGAGCAGGAGCAGGAGCTGGAAAAAAAAAGAGTGAAATATAAAACACAACGACAAGGCTGTGATGCCACGCCCACTCTCTCTTAACAGGCAGTCGCCAAACATTTCGATTAACATACGCAAACACACACACACACTAACACAGCTGACCAGCAGCTGGGGGGGAGGCAAAGAAAAAACAACAACATAACGTGCACGGCCAGCAAATTGAATTGCCGGCAAACAAGGCCGAGTCCTGCAGGAAGCTGAGCATTAAAAAAATACAAAAAAATCACAATCGGAGTCGCAATGGCGAAGCGACGATGGCATACGAGCATCCGCCTCTCACATCGCCATCAGAATCGTTTTAAACAAAACGGACTAATTAAGCGCACGTTGTAGTCCACGACCGGAACAGCTCCACGGCTGACTCGACTCGACTCACCTGTCGCTGCAAAATGACTTGTCGGAACTAGCAAACTTAATCAGCGACTAAAGGGCGGCGCTAAAGCAAAAAGATGAACTCCCAGCTGGACGCCCTGCTGTGTGCTTAGCGCTGAAATGTTTGGGAAATTTATAGGAAATTTTGACAGGTGAATTCTGATCACAATAAGAGCCATTTCTTGTGCCATAAACAATAAGAGTAAAAGGCGCACTCCTTAAGGAAATTAACAAAGGCTGAAGGCGGAACCATCTAGAGAACTAAGAGCGGAAAATTATTGACTATTAATAAAGTAATACAAGTAAAACTTGTATAAAATTTTGCTACTTTTCTCTCTTCTCTTGAGAGTTTTTTTTAGTGAGAATTTATTTCACCTAAGCGATTTGCAGATTTCATTCAAAATTTGCTCTGGATTAACTAAGGTAATTAAGTATAAAATATTTATGAATATATATATATATATATATATATTATATGCACGTATATATAAATCATATATTAAGTAATTTGTTTATTAATGTTTTGTTTT